TTTTTTTTTTTCGAGCACTGGTAGAAGTTATTTTTACTCCGGGTAGTTACCCCTCCACATTTGCTTTGTTAGTTTTTGTTTCGTGAAAAGTTTTTGACTACTAAGCATATTTCAGTCAAGTTATCCAGCAGCAAATGATTTAGGTATCTGTCTTGTTTATTTTTATTTATTTGTTTTTTGCTGTGGACCGGATAATTTCATACCTTTCTGTTTTTGGTTTAAAGTTAAATTGTTTCATTTGCGCCATCGTAGTTTTTAAGTCTTTGTTTTCCCATCTAGAGCCTTTTAGCTATCATGATCATTTAAGAACCTATTGGTAAGTTATAACTTCCTTGTCACCGAAATTACTTCTGTGACATATGTTTTTTTTTCCTGACCACAGTTTTGTAATAAGTTGAAGTTTTGTAATTGTTTATTTCGTTTATTTGCAAGCCTCAGAGTTTTCGCTCTGTTATTTCTTAATTTTTTCTCGATTAATACAGCCTTTATTCGCTTTTTAGCACTTTGAAAGTTCAAGATAATTTTGAGTAATCAGAGGTCTTTGGTAGTTTTTTTCATTTGCTGGGATTAGCAGCAGTTTCGCTTGGCGAAACCTTGTGCTCTCTTTGTTGTCTTTGAATGTTGGTATTACGAAGTACACAATTTTCCTACAGGTATCTGCAACTGAAAAATGGGCGAACGTAGCTCAGGCTGTCGGTATTGCTGAAGGTGTTGCAGTTGCTGAGCACGCAATCAAAGTGCTATACATGAGGTTCTTGTTCAGTCTTGTTTAATTTTGCACTACAGTTCCATATTCTCTTCATTATTTAATTTGGGTTTTAGGTACTTGTCGAAATATGAGCAGAACGAAACAGTTGGTGATGTCGACGACAATGAAGCAGAGTTAGTCAGCTCCCGCTCGAGAAGTAAAGGTTTTTCATCACTAGCCAGCGCCGACTGTCCAATAAGTATTTCAAGCCGCTACACAGTCGGTTAGCGTTTTCAGCAGCTGCTTTCCTTTTTTAAACTTTCTTTGTTATTTTGAAATGTCTTTTGGTCGAATTGCTGTCGGTAACATTGGTTAAATGACCAGTAAAATTTCGTTTCAGATTTTTATAGCAGTAGGATGGAAAAAAAGGGTGAGCCAGACTATAATCGTCTAGTCAAAAGCCTTTACTGTGGTCTTCCAAACGAGGTTTCTTATCAAAATCGTTTCTTCTTCTTTTCAGGATCAGATCGATTTTTTTTTTGTCTTTCTGTTTTCTCATATTATTTTGTTAGAATATCGTTTAAAAAACAGCCATTCGTTTCCTCTTTATAACAGTTCCATTGTTTCTAATCTTTTGCAGGTGGATTTCGCCATCAACGTTTGTACTCTACTTTCACATCCTGGACCGCGCTTTTTGAAATTGGCTTCTGCCCCTCAAATTCTTACTCTTCTTGTTGCACATGTTGGAGTGTTTTCTGATGGCAAGTTCATAAATTTAACAATTTTTCTTGGTTCTGTATTGAGATTTTGAGATCTAAGTTAAGGTTTTTTTGTGAAAATTTGTCGTCACTTAGCGTCATCTGGAGCTTGAAAAGTTTTAGAAGATAATTCGATGTATGATTTATACAAATCGTGGGAGGAGGCCTCTTGCCATGATTTTGTTTCTTTTTGGAACGGTGCAGGGATTGAAGACGAGGAGGTGTTGGTCTTGCTGCCTCACGTGAAGTCAACGGAGGTTGTTTTTTTTTGGCAGTTTATTGTATTTTTGCAATTTAGTTCAGCGAAGGAATTCATTTTACGTGGTTGTTCTTTGCTTATGATCGCTTGTTGTTCAGGTTTCAAATACTGATCTCAATTTATTTGGTGGTCTTGTCCATGAGTTCCGTTTGAAGGATGTTGTTTCATGGAGGGTTCATCAGATTCTGTCAATTGTGCGAAATCTTTCCTTTGAAGTGATTAACAAGCCTGTCATGGCTGCTAGTTGGCCACTAATGAAGTCAGTTTGTCGGGTTGATCGTTTATAAAACTTTCAGAATTTGATCATTTTTTCGGTTTTTCTGAGTAAATGTTTACTTCATGTATTTACTGGTTCTCGGAAGTTGTTTTGGGCATTTCATTTTGGTCTCTTATGATCCTTCTCAATTTTTCATCGATGTTATCGAAACTTGAGTCTTTCAGATTTTTATTCGTTTGTTGCGGCTGCAAGTGGAGTTCTTTAAGGACCGCAGCGCTGGATGCTTTGAGTAACATTGCAAGC